TTGCATCCCCCGTCCCTCTTCAGCCACGATGGACACCTCGGGCGGCCTCTGAAGATGGCTGCGCTACCCAGCGGAAGCTCCCGGCGAGGCGCGGGCAGTAAAACAGGGAACAAGGCCATCCGCAGACTACACTTTGTGCGTCGGCGGCTAGGCAGAGCAACAGCGCTGGCGGAAGAGCAATCCCAACGGGGATGCCGTTGTAGCGAATTGCGCCAGCATCCGCAGCACAGCATCCACAGTCCCTGAGCTGGCCATCCTTCAGCCCGAGCCGTCTGCACCTCGCTCACCTGGAGCTCTCGCGCCAAGTCCCAGGATCTTCCCGCGCGCACGCGGCCTGGGTGGAACGCCGCGAGGGCGCTGCAGGGTGGGGCCGAGGCACCCAGAGAACGGCTGCTGTCACCCGGTCACTGGCGAGGGAAGACAAGGATGCGCGGGCCTCGTCGTTGAGGCGGGGCTTCTTGGCCTCTCGCACGCCGGCCTCGCAGGCCTTCGGGAAGCCAGGTAGACACAGGATCGGGAGAGGGTAGAGCGAGAAGGCCATGCACGTGATGAAAATGATGAAGCCCTCCGCCCTAGGCCCTTAGCCTGTGGAAGAGAGCGCGTCTCGTGGACGCTTGCTTGGAAAAAGTCCCCTGGACACGTCAGAGCTGGGGAGAGAGGCCCCCCCTCCCTGAAACAGCTGAAACGCCCAGACGTCCGGAGGGGGGGCGGGGTGCTGACACCGGCCTCTCTAACCGCAACGGGGGGGGGCCTCCAAGGGGGGCGGTTCGAACCGAGACGGGGGCCCTCCAGGGGGGGTCGAAACCAGGGATACGTAACCTTCAGGGCCTAGGGCATAGGGTGGGTACCCTAGGGTCGCCTCAGAAGCCCTCCCCTAGCGCCCTGGAGGGCAGGCATAAGGTAGGCCTAGTGCAAGCCTAGAGGTAGGTAGGTCCTCGGGGCAGGCCTGGAGTAGGCCCAAGGGTAGGCCCTCAGGGTAGGCCTCGGGTAGGCCCAGGGGTAGGCTCTAGGCGCCCTAGCGCAGGTCCTAGGGGTAAGCTTTAGGGTAGGCTTAGCTAGAATGGGCCTGGGGGCCCCAGGGGTACGCCTACTCTCGGGGTTCGGTCGGGTCGACGGTCGAACCCTAAAATGCGATGCGTGTTCGTGTTGGCGCGCACGCAGGGAGGGCGTGTCGTTTCGGGCAGGCCGGACACTAACAGATGATGTGCGCTCGCACTGGCACACACGGAGCGGCGCCGACGACGACCACCACCACCCCCGGCCACGACGACGGGCCCGAACCAGCACCAGTTCTCGGATCCGAGCTCCTTCGCGGCCACGGGTCACGAGACGGCCCGCCGAAGCGCCCTCACCCCGTGGCGCCGGCCCTGCCTCCCTGCCTCTCCCTGCCTCCCTCCTCCTTGCCTCCCTCTCTCTCTCCTCTCCTCCTGCTTCTCACACTCCTCCCTCCGCGCCTCCTCCCTCCTGCCCCGAGGCCTCCTCGTCCGGCCAAGCCAGGCCAGCGTGCGGACAGGCCGAACTGGAGGGCAACGACGACGACGACGACGACCACCACCACCACCACCACCACGACGATGACGACGACGACGACGACGACGACTTCAGACCCACGGAGCCCGTCCGGTGCCGAGCCACACCAGCTCCACCTGTTCGTGCTGACGAGGCGGGCCCACGTCGGCACCCTCCCAGAGTCCCTCGGAGCAAGAGAGAGAGCCAGCCTCCTGGCCAGAGCGACCCAAGATAAACCTGGGGAAAGGTTCGTGAGGTAGAGCACGCTGGGGCTTGGGGTAGGCTCTACGAGCGGCGAGGGCTCCAATGGCTGGGCCTGGTCGAGCGGGCCGGGCCCGGGTCGGGTCGGGCGGGCGGAACATAAAGTATGGAGTAAACTAATATGCTGCATCGTCCGGCTGTCACGCGAAAGCCCCGACGGCCGGGCCTGGTCGAGCGGGCCGGGCCCTCACGGGCGGGTCGGGTCGGGCGGGCGGGACATTGATGTATGGAGTAAAATATAACTGCATCGTCTGGCCGACACGCGAGAGCCCCAACGCGAGAGCCCCGAACGCGACGACGACGACGACGACGACGACGACGACGACGACGACGACGACCACGACCACGACCACGACCACGACCACGACCCCGACCCCGACCACGGCCCCGACCATGGCCACGACCACGACCACGACCACGACCACGACCACGACCACGACCACGACCACGACCACGACCACGACCACGACCACGACGACCACGACGACCACGACGACGACTCCAGGCCCGCGGAGCCCGCCCGGTGCCGAGCAGCACCAGCTTCCCGAGCTGAGCCCGTTTGTGCTGACGAGGCGGGCCCCCGTCGGCACCCCCCGAAGCCCCTCGTGCCCCCCCAAGCCCCCCAAGGGGCCGCCCAAGGCCCCCTGGGGCGGGCCGGGGCTCCCCAGGCAGCCCCGAAGCGGGCCTTCCCCCTCGGGGCCCCCTCGGGTAGCTGTTTTCGGGCGCCTGGGCAACCGAGGGGAACAATCGACGTGGTGCAATCGACGGTGTGCGATCCGTGTTGTGAAACCGGTGCCCGATCTGTGTTGCGCAGTATACGTCATCGCATGCGGTGCGATCTATGTGGTGAGCCCTGGGCCTCGGAGTAAGCACTAGAGGTCAGCAGGGGTTCGGGCCCGGAGGTAAGCCCAAGACGTAAGGCCTGGGCGTGTGATCGGGCGTAGGCCAGGGACGTAGGGCCTGGGCGTAGGCCCTGGAGGTCACGAGGGTAAGCTCGGGGGTGGGCCTAGGGGGAAGCCAACGGTAGGTCGAGAGAGGAGCTCGAGAAGTTGGCCTGGAGTAGAACTGGGAAAAACGCCTCGAGACAGCTCCACCCTGGGTCTAGACCTAAGCAGCACTAGAGCTACGCCTAAGGTAGGGATGGAAGCAGACCCGAAGGGTAGGCCCTGGGAATGAGACTATTGGTCGGCCCTAGTGGTAGGCCTAGGGTTGGCCTGGGGGTAGGCCCTAGGGGTAGGGCCTAGGGGTAGGCCTAGGGATAGGCCCTAGGGGTAGGCCTAGGGGTAGGCCTAGGGGTAGGCCTAGGGGTAGGCCCTGGGGGTTGTCCTAAGGTAGGCATGGGGGTAGGCCCTAGGGGTAGGCCTAGGGTACGCCCAGGGTAAGAACAGTGTAGGCCTAGGGGTCCGCCCTAGGAGTAGGCCTAGGGTAGGCCTAGGGATAGGCCCTAGGAGTAGGCCAAAGGTAGGCATAGGGGTAAGCCCTAGGGGTAGGCCTAGGGTAGGCCTATGGGCAGGCCCACGGGAGGGCCTAGGGTAACCCTACCACGAGTGTTCTATCAGTAACCGGCGGGGGGGGCCTTCCCCTTAATCGAAGCCTATGTGTGCTCGATCAGGCTCTAATAAAATCCTACGATCGCTGGATCCAGCTTCACTAGCACCCTAGTCGAGCTCAGTCCAACTCTAATAGAATCATGGATCCAGCTCTCACTGAATCATACTAGGGCCCGATCTATCTCGAACATAATCCGAGTAATAGCTTGATCCAGCTCTGGCTGAGCCCTACTAGGGCTCGATCCCGCTCCAACAGAATCTTTGTAGGGCTCGATCCCGCCTTGATAGCATTCTACCAGAAGCTCGATCGTCGTCGTCGTCGTTGTTGCCCGACGGTGCTGGCGCCAGCGCCGGCGCTCGCCGTCGTCTTCAGAGGGCCCCCCCCCCATGGTTCGAGCGCAGCCCCTTCCCAGCGTCCAGAGAACGCGCTCTTTCGCATGTGAGCTCTCTTGCCTTTCTTGCCTGCGGTATCATCCCCCATGGCGCGGATGCGACGTTACGCGCATGCATGCGTAAAGTGCTGCAGCAAGTCGACGCAGAAGACCGTGAAAGTTCGTGAGCTCGTGCGCGCATCTGGATATTGGCGCCGATCAGAACTAACGCGCACGTGGCCAGCAGGGTGCGGTTGGGTGAGCCTTCATGGGAGCCTCTGTGGACCTCCGCGGCCCATCATAAACATGATTTCGATCGGATGTCGTCCAGATTTCGACCACGCCTCGTCACCCTTTCGTCCAGATGTCGTCCAGATGTCGACCAAATCCGACGAAGACCTGACGAACTCCCCAAAACCGCCAGGAAATTTGGAAACCTCTGAGGCTCCTGTGAAGGACCACACCAGCGAGGGGGAGAAAGGAAGGCAGGGCAGTGAGGGGAGACCAGGATGTTGGAAGGAGAAGACGCGAGGAGGGCAGGAGGAGGGGAGGCGGGAGGGGCAGGGGGCGATGCAGGGCGAAGTGTTGACACTGGGAGGGGGCGAGATGCTGACAGAGGGAGGAGGGGGAAAACATGGGACGCACAGGGACATACTAATACTACATGTCCTCCTTGGAGGCGCGCGTCCGACCCGAACATATAGTATACCTATCTTGTGGTATATCGTTTCCCGAGCGGTGTGGCCAGAAAGCGCCCGCCACGACGCATATACTATTAGATTTCTCGGTGCGCGCGTCGCCCCTGAGGGGGCGACACACATCTAGTAGAAGTATGTTGGGGTGACGCCGAAAACATGGGGGCGGAGCTCAGCCGCTTAGCTGCCCCGATACACAGCACGCAGCACGTAGCGTGTTGGCACGGAGCTCAACACGCAGACTGGAAACGTGGGCATGGCGCGCTACGCTCGCCAAAACGCGAACAGACAGGCAAGGAGCCTGCAAGCAGCCTGTCAACACGAACGTTTTGAATACGGCGCGTGCTGCGTTTCAACACAGGCGTATCAGGGCAGCTACGACGAGAGCCCAAAATCGAATCGATAAGTCGGATCAAAGATCGAAATGAATCGGCTCGGTGGAGATCGGCAGCCAAGTCGGGAACAGTCGAAGAGACGGGAACTGGCAGGCTAGTAGGCCTCCACTCCTCCACTGATGAGTCGGAATCCGAATCGGAATCCGAAGTCGAATCGCATCGGAATCGGCAGCCATCGAAATCGAATCGAACCTGAGGAGCCGAAAGCAGTCCTGGAGAAGAGGCGAAGTGGAGCACCGGAGCAGAAGCGGGACACCCGCGTCGCCTGCGGCCTGGGGGCCCTTCTCCGAAGCCTGGAGCCACGCAGCATCCGTCGCAGCGCGCCGCCCTGGAGACCTGGCAAGCACTCGTGCTCTACCGCTGTCTGGCTGGCTGTCTGGTCGACGGGTACGGTCGGGAACTGTGGGATTGACTGCCTACCAGACCACCCCACCCCAACCCGAAGACCCGGACTTCGGGTTGGGGGGATACAGGTTCCAGGCATGTCTTTAAGTCGGGCCGGGCAAAAGGGGGGGATAGCAAAGGGGGAGTTTTGAGCTTCAGCTCACGTAGCTGATCTTCCCAGCACCTCCGGGCGCCGGGAGGCGCGAAAAAGGCCAATTCGCTAATCGACTTGTCAGGGTAGGAGGTCTGTCCACCCCCGACTATCCCCCCCCTTCCGTTCGGCCCGACTCGTGCTCCCCGAACCCCCCCCCACACACCGGGAGTGGCGGGGCCGCCGGGGCGCTCGGCCGCCCTTTCCGCGGAGCTCGGGCGTGGCCGCGCGGGAGCTCGGGCCGGCCGTGAGCCGAGCCTCGGGGGGCTGCCGCGAGGGCCTGCGCCTCAGGCCGTGCAGAGGCGGGGTGGCATGCTGAGACGCACGGATCGGCGGCGAGCCTCAGATCGGGGAGGAGGCACTCCGGGTTCCGAGGCTCCAGGCTTTCCACTGTTCGAGGAGGCTCAGAGGCCACCGAGCCTCTTCCCCGATCGAGGTTTCCAGGAGGCAGAGGAAGCAGTCCGGGTTCGAGGCTCCAGGTTGTCCACTGCTCTCTCGTCGGTTCGCGGCGGTCTCCCAGCTGCGGGATGCTCTCCAGCCGCTGCGCCTCGTCGAGGGCTTGCCGGGGATGCCCGGATCGTGCTGAGCGGCCGCCGGAGGCCCGAGGTGTGGCCCGAAGACCACCCGCAGAAGGGGGCGGGCCTTCTGAGAAGGCTCGCTACCTATCCTCCTCCTCCTCCTCCTCCTCCTCCTCCTCCTCCTCCTCCTCCTCCTCCTCCTCCTCCTCCTCGCCCTCCCCCCCTCCTCCTCTCCTCCTCCTCCTCCTCCTCTCCTCGCCCTCCCCCTCCTCCTCCTCCTCCTCCTCCTCCTCCTCCTCCTCCTCCTCCTCCTCCTCCTCCTCCTCCTCCTCCTCCTCCTCCTCCTCGGGGGCCTTCTCATCGGGGGCCTTCTGAGAAGCTTTCGGAACCTTCCCCGAAGGCACAGGAAACCTCTCAGAAGGCCGGACAGGCCTTCTGAGAAGTCCCGCCGCCTGCTGAGAAGGCCTTCTCCTTCTCCCTTCCCCCCCTCGCTCGCCGCCGAAGAGAAGGCACCTGCGCACCCCCACCGTACCTGGCCAGAGCCAGCGCTGGGTGGCGACATCCGAACCCTTCTGCACTAACCATCGGTTCTCCTGAATCGATGGGAGGCGGGGGCAGGGCTCGGACCTCACAACGTGTTCGACGAATTCCGTACCCTACCCCCGCCGCCCATCGAGTTGACTGAATCATTGATCGGCGAGGGTAGGGTCCGGATCTCGCCGCCGAATCCTGGCCCCCGTCGTCGTGTCCACGTCTCCGCCCTGGTGTTGTCGAGGCCAGGCAGGTCTGTACGCCAGCCAAGGGCCCTGGACGGCCCTGGCCAGGCTCGGTGGGCGTGGGCAGGCACCTTCCACCGCTGAAGCTGCAGCTACACTGGCGACCGTACAAGCCAAAATAAAAGTTTGCCGCTTCCTCCCGTGGCCGAACCGTGCGCACGAGAGGAAGCCACGAGCTGTGGCCCACGGCCGCCGCACAGTCAACCTGGTGCATATCATTTGTGTCGTGCTCTTGTCCCAGATATCACAACCCCTCAGCGTGCCTACTCCGAAAACCCGACGTTGACACACTCATGACTGCTCTTATCCGCAACCGTGCTCACTGGCACGCTGAGGCGCAATAGCATACCAAGAGCTCTCTGGTAGGGCTTCTGCAATGCGAGAACGGCGCTTGCGCACCGTTCGGGGATGGGCAAAACCCCTTTTAACAAAACATGGTTCGGTGAAAACGACCTCGGGCCCAAACCTGGCGGGCGCAAGCCTGGAAAATGACGGCCGCGGCGCCCTCTCGAAAACCGTAAGCGGACAATTCACTAATCGACGTCTCAGGGTGGGGGTTCTGTCCACCCACGAACCATACAATGTTTGAACTCCCTTCAGGCCTCGCACCAACGCGGTACGGTGAATAGATTCGCTCGGGCACTCAAGCCGATAAGCTGCGCACCGCACCGTTCGTGGGTCGAGGATCGGCAACGCCTTCTTAAACGCCAAGGCGACAAATCGTCCGCGGACAGAAAGCTTTGCGTGGCCGCCCCCCCGCCTCTCGACGCACTCAGTCGCACTCGCCGCCGCCTCCCCCGCCCACCCCACCTGAGGATCCCCAGGCGGTCCGACGGCACTTCCCTGGGGCGCTCCCGAGTTCCTCTGAGCTTGCCAGGCGGCCCAGGAATGCCACCAAGACCGCCACGATGACCCAACATTGGCTCCATGCGCAGCCAACCGCCCCAACCTGGCGTCCAAATAAATCCCAAGAGAGGCCCCCAAGAGACCCGAATATCGCTCCACGACGCCCAAGATGACGTCCAGACGGCCCAAGACGTCTCCAAAATGACCCAAAAAGCCTCCAAGATCCCTAGGAGGTCTCCAAGTGCATTCCCAAGAGGGCCCCAAGAGGCAAACAAACAATGCTTTTCCATAGGCGTTGGACAGATTTGGGCGTTTCAACCTTTTCGGTTCCCCGACGCCCCTAAACGGCTGAAGAAGCCTCCAAGATCGCCCCAAGAGGGCCCAAGAGGCCCCCAAGAGGGCTCCAAGATGGCCCAAGACGGCTCCAAGACGGCCCAAGAAGCCTCCAAGACGGCCCAAGAGGGCCCCAAGAACGCTTCAAGAACGCCCCAAGAGGGGGTTCACGAAACAGAATTTCGAGCTCTCGGCCCTTAGAGGCCCCCGGGAGGCCCCAAGACGCCCCCAAAGGCCCCAAGAGGCCCCCAAGAGGCCCTCAAGAGGCCTCAAGAGGCCTCCAAAAGGCCCTCTGGAAGCCAAAAAACCCTCAGGGGGCCCCCAGGACGCCTCCAAGACTCCAGCCAGACGCGACTTGGGAAACGCGGGTCGGGGTGGTCCTCCTCCCCCGCGTTCGGCCCCCGACGCCGCAGCTCCACACTGCAAACGATCACTCGGACAGGCGACCACGGTGCGACATTATGGGCTGGCGGAATGAGCGGAACGATTAAATAAATCCCAAGAGAGGCCCCCAAGAGACCCCCCCAAAAAAACACTCGAGACGCTCCAGGAGGTCCTCAGGAAAGCAAAAGCATTGATTATCAGTACGTTGTTCACTGCTTTTCGCTTTCCACGCTCTTCGGTCGAAGCTCGGTCCACCTACAGTCTACGAAAATCCAAGAGCGCCCACTGACAGCGTCAAGAGGGCCGTTAGACGGCCCCCAGAAGGCTGTCGGACGGACCCAAGACGGCCTAAGAAGGAACCGAAACGGTCCAAGACAGCATCAACACGATCTCACGACGTCCCCAAGAGAGACCCCCCTGACAGCCAGGAAGGCCCCAAACAGCCAAGAGGGCCCAGTAATACGACCGGCGTGCTGGCCCCCCCTTCGCGACAAGGGGTGCGTCGCGCCCGTGCGCCGCCCGTGCGTCGGCCGCCGAAAACGCCAACCGTCCTCGCGAATGTGCAGGTCGCCCTCGCAAGGGGGCAATTTGGTGAGTGCGTCGCCAGCGCGGCGGGCACCCGCGGGGCGGATCGCACGCGCGTCGCCCGCTCCACGGCCGCCGAAAAGGCCAGTCGCCGTCGGGAAAAAGGAAATCGCCCACGCAGCGGCCCCCTCGGCGACAAGGCAGCCGCTGGGCCACCTCGGCAGATCAGCAAATCCATCTAACATCACAAATTCCGCGATGCTGCTGAACGCACTCCGGCGCTAGGCCAGCAGGTCCTCGCAGCCGCCGCCACAGCCGCCGCGACCGCCGCCGACGCCAGGACTACCACCACCACGATTTTTACCGCCACCACCACCACGACCACCACGTCTCTCGCGACCACCACAACGACCACCAGCACGATCACCGACGTGACCACCACCAGCCCGCCCACCACCAGCACCACGACCACCGCCAGCGCGACCAAGGCGACAAACGCGACCACGACCATGATCACCAACATGACCATTACAGAAGCACCCGCCCGCTCCGTCCTCCCCCCTCTCCCCCCCATTCCCCTGCCGGGCCGCTCTTGCCGCCGCGCCCGCCTCGTGCCCCTGCCCCCCCCCTCCTTTTCTCCTTGTCAAGTTCCTCATCCACCGCCAGCGGCGGGGCCTTTCACGGAAGGCGGGGGCGCCGCTCGCGGCCCCGCGCCGCGGCCGCGAAAGGGGGGCCGAAGGAGAAGAAAGAAAATGAAGAGGGACACGGGGTGGCAAGGGACAAAAAACAAAGACGAGAGGGGAGGGAGGAGGGACAGGCAGAGGGATGCCGGGAAAAAAGAGGAGAAGGGGAGGAGGGAGGGAGACGAGGCAAGAGGGAGGATGAAGGAGGAGGAATGACGAAGGAGGAGGGACGACGAGGAAGGGAAAGGGAAGGAACAGGGGCGAAGCACCGCCCTTCCTGGCGCAATGGTGGACGCAGCCGCCGCCACTTGTGAACGGCGCAAGCACGGCGGGCCGACGGCCGTTGCGCATTGCTGTCCGGAGATATGCTAAGGGCGGGCAAGGTCGCGACTGCGTCCCGCTTGCGTCGCGCGTGCGTCGCGCGTGCGTCGCGCCTGTGTCGCGTTTGCTTCGCGCGCGTGGCGCGTGCGTTGCGCGTGCGTCGCGCGGGTCGGTCGTGCGTCGCGCGTCGGCAAGGGTGCGTCGCGCGCGGGTCGGGGTGCATGGCGCGCGCGTCGCGCGTGCGTCGCGTGCGCGTCGCGTGCGCGTCGCTCGGGTCGTTCGTGCGTCGCGCGCAGGTCGCGCGCGAATCGCTCGAAGGGCGCCGTGGACTTCTGACGGCGCGTGAACTGCGCGGCCCGCTGGCGAAACAATCAAGGAATGCGCGCGACAATCACAAACATAGCGAGACACGCAAGTGAGAACTACGAACGCGAGACCAGTACACGACGTGGAGATGCAGCGCGCACGGAGTAATCAATTTCAAGCGCACGCCCCGTCAGAATTTGAACATCGGTTCATCACTGCAGCAACTTGGCGACGTCTCGCCCGCCGACGCAGCGGGGGGAGAAAGAGGATGGAAGTGAGGCGAGGGAAGGGCGGGCGGAAAAGGGAACGGACGGGCGAGGAGGGGGCGCGCGGGGGCGGCGCAGCGGCGGCGGGAGCGATGGCAGGCAATCGCGGGGGGGCGGCGGGAGCGAGGAGAGCGAGAGGGAAGTTCCAGGAGGGTGGAAGGGCAACGGGGGGTGAGTAGGGAGGGGGACAGGACGGCAGCCTGACACAAAAAACTGAATATACTTCCGCAAACGAGACAAAACGCGCAGCGCGTTCGACGAGGGGAGGAAGAAGGAAGAGGGGGAAGGGCAGGAGGACTGGCGCGAAACGACATGGGGGCGCGGGGCGCGACGCGGCGGGGCGAAGTGGCGAAGCGTCGCGCGACGTGACGTCACCCCCACCGTGGCGCGACGCGCACAGCCCCCAATCAATGCGAGGCGTCTTCGTCCTCAATTACGGTTGGCGCCCACCGAGAATACGCACCAGCGAATCCTCTTGCGCCGAATGGGAAACAGAACGCGTTGGTGGACCGTCGAACTAGGGTGCGCCACGACCGCAAAACTGGCTGCTGGCGCACTGGCGTCGGAAACCTATATGTCGCCAGCGAAATTCCGAAGTCGCGCCATATGTCGCCCACGCACTCTGGGAGGCCGGGATTCGGGACAGAGACGCAAACCAGGGCCGGCGAACGAAAATTAAAAAGGGGGGCAGGGGTCGTATTCCTGGGCCTTACAAGAAGGTCCACGAAGGTCCCAAGATGGCCCAAAAGGGCCCCAAGACGGCCTAAAGGGGGATCCGCAAAAATCCCACCCCACGGGTGCCCAAGACAGCCCCCAGACGGCCCGAATACGCCCCATGAGAGCTCCTCCAGAAAAACGAGACCAGAGGTGTCACATGTGATGGCCCTCTAGGTGGTGATCGAGAGGTTGCCACACATATTGACAGGAACATCTAACGCTTGAAGCGCATCATGTGGGCAGTCAAAACTGCAGACTGCACTCTTTCAAGGATTACGATGAGAAGTGGAACACATAACAACGAGCAAGGCTAGGACGATCCAAGCAGAAGCCGAACATGACTGTCTGTCCGAACGTCAGCAATACCCTACCGACCGCAGCTCGAGCTTCTGCGATAGATCGAAGGATTCGCCTCATCCAAATATTAGCCAGCGTGGACCCCAACCAGTGAGTTATTGCACTGTGGATGTGCAAGCTCTGTGGTGCAAGCGAAGTGGAGAAAGCTACGTGGCGCTCTACACGTGGGGTGCAAGCTAGAGGCGGCAGCGAAGCGGCAACGGGCGGCAACGTGGCGAAACCTCGCTGGACACACCCAGCGCACGAGGCGCACCACGGCGAAATTCGGCGGCAAGATGGCGAAACCTCGCTGGACCCACCGAGCGCACGAGGCAGCAACGAGGCGGCAACGAGGCGGCAACTTGGCGAAGCCTCGCCGATCCCATCCAGCGCACGAGGTGGCAACGAGGCGGCAACGGGCGGCAACGTGGCGAAGCCTCGCCAGACCCACCCAGCGCACGAGGCGGCAACGAGGCCGCAACGGGCGGCAACGTGGCGAACCTCGCTGGACCCACCGAGCGCACGAGGCGGCAACGAGGCGGCAACGGGCGGCAACGTGCCGAAACCTCGCCAGGCCCACCCGTTCCTCAAAAGAACAAGCAAGAACCTCTTGGTGCAAGCACGGTTTGGGGAACTACTGCTGGACTGCGTGTTGAATGTCGAAAGGCTGCCATGCCGCCAACACTTGCGCGAGCGGCCCAATTCTAGGATATGGTCCAACATGGTACGGCGAGCTTGCACAAGTGTCTGTTCGTTCTCCATACCTACCGATGCACGGCGATTCACAACACGTGGGGGTGCCTAATGCTGAAGACCTCCATTGCGCACGACTGCGTCGGCGACTCAGTGCACCAGACAGCTCTTGAAATTATAATGCGGCACTACAAACGCAGCGCGAATGATGTAGTCGCCCACTTGCTTTGCTGATCCCTGCCTTCATCCTCTCGCCTACGAGCTTAAGCAGTGGCAGCTCAAAAAGTGAATCTGCCGACTCCTGATCGTGGTGTGCCACGGTTTCATCCCTCCATCGCATGGCCTGGCACCTTCTGCGCCTGGGTCCCGAACAAGATATGTCGACACTTCAACGCACTACTACACCAAAAGCTTACATGTACTTCCCAAAGCCGCGATCCAGCGCGGGACGGTCAGGGATGACGGACGCACTTTGCGAGACACACTCTGCAATCAAATCTTGGCCTCGACTGAGACAGCACAGAACGCCTACCACAAGAAAGGGATCTGTTGAGGATGGAGACAACGCCTGGGGAGGCCAGAAGGACGCTTCGATCTTCGAACGCCACGCACACTTCCCAACTGTTCCTTATCCACTGCGGCGAAAAAACGGCCAGTTCTCGAGCGGCAGAACCTGGCACACTTTTCCCTCCAACGCGGCAACGTGTCGCAGCCGCTGGAGACAACGTCACGGGCCTCGCTGACACCTAGTGGAAACGACCACCACGGCGTGTGCCTGCAGCGGTCCTCCTCCAGGCCTGCCACTCCTCGAGGCTCACGTTCCTGGCCCACCCCACACAAGGCCGTCAATTCGTTGTGAACGTGGCCCGGCGTGGATTCAACCAGTGACAGAATCCATCGCCGCGTCGGAGGTAACAAAGCGTGCAAGCCTGCGGTCCCCAGGGCAGGGAAAGGGGGGCGCAACGCAATGGCAGGCAGGGTAGGCCACTGCAGGAAGAAGAGCGCGGGAGGCAAGCAAGCGAAGCGCTCCGGAGGACGAGCGCCAAACTCTACGCAAACCCAAACACACACACACACACAACTCCACACACACACACAAACACGCGCGCGCACGCACGCACGCACGCACGCACGCACGCACGCACGCACGCACGCACGCACGCACGCACACCCACACATACACACACACACACACACACACACACACACACACACACAAACGCGCGCGCGCACGCGCACGCACCATACCCACACACATACACACACGCATACACGCACACACCCTTGTTTGTCCTACGACGGGCAGGTGACGTAAGCAAAGGCGGGATACACGCTAAGCAAATTCCCACCAGCCATTTGGGCTAAAGTGGTCTAAAGAGTTCTTTGATTCCTCTTCCAAAAACCCGCTTGCCTTCGGGGAGGTTGACCTTCCCCACCCTCCCTGGGCCTGGATGGAGGGAAACAGGGGTTAGAGCGTCCAAGATGGCCCAAGACGGCTGCAAGAGGGTCTCCGATGCTCCAAGATGGTATCCAAGGCGGCTTAAGATAGCCGAAGATGGTTCAAGATAGCAAGACGGTTCGTGCTCTTGGAGCCCCCATCAGAACCCCCCGCGAGGCCAAATGCATTCAAAAACCTAAGGAAACTAAATGATGTGTGCCTTCTCGCCTTTTCGTTCCCGATGCGCTTTTGAGGCTTCAAGGTGGCCCAAGAGAGCCACAAGAGGGGCCCAAGATGCCCCCCAGACGGCCCCAAGAGCGCCCAAGAGCGCCCCCAGAGGACCCCAAGGGTCGGCTTTGATGGCCCCAGGGGGGGGACGCAAATCTGGGATCCCCCTCCTTTGATCGATAGCCTTCGAATGGCCTCAAGAGGCCCTCCAGGGCTCCCAAGAGAGCCCCACCAAGAAAGTCCCAAGAGCGTCCCACGAGGGCCCAAAGAGGCGCTTTGTCTCCTCCTCCTCCCCCTCCTCCTCCTCCTCCTCCTCCTCCTCCTCCTGCTCCTCCTCCCCTCGCCCCCCCGCGAGCCCCAAGGATGGCCCGAAGAGGCCCTCCAAGGCCACCGCCTTGCTCCCAGAGACCTCTCTGTTCATCCTGGTGACCCGCTTTGTTTCACGAAGTGTGTCTCTTCGTCCCTTTTCTGTCAGCTCTCGTGGGCAACGTACCAAATTGTGTGGAAGCGCGTACAGAGCTGGAAACCTTGGTGCGGCCCGAGCGGGACCTCCAAGCAGCAAATACGGACGGCGCAGGAAGGTGAGGCGCGAGAAAAACGAGAGCACAGACAGGCGGCCAGGGAGCGAGGGGGAGCGGCGGACGGAGAGCAGGACGGCAAGCCAAAAAAGGGCACGTCGTTGAGGGTAAGCCACACGCAGGCACACGCACACGCACGCCGTTCGGGCGCACACAGGCGGGGCGCCGAGCCACTCGCAGGCGGACTGAAGGCGGACCGAGCGGGGCTCCCAAGAGTCAACCCCGGCAGCCGGCAAGCGAAAGGGTGACCACGCATCGGGGAGACGTAAGAATCGGGTACGGGGGACTCGGGTTGGCCTGATGGGGCCACCATGAAAGCGACGAGACCCAATCTGAGATTTGACGCGAGCTCCCGCTGCGCAAGTCCCACGAAAAGCGGACCGCCAAAATCCGGGACGCGCTCGTCAGCAAACGACAGCAAAGCCGAGTTCCAGCTTACTCCGAGTTTCTTGATAAGCGTCGAGGGGGCGCCACCCCCGCCGACAGCCCCACCTCGACCTCCGTCGCGGGCAACCACCGCGCGCCGAAGGCGTTCCGACCCCCGCTGCGGCGCGACGACGAGGCGAGGTCGACACCCGTCGAGGGGATACCCCCCCACGCTTATTAAGAAACCAGGAGGAGGAGGAGGAGGAGGAGGAGGAGGAGGAGGAGGAGGAGGAGGACGACGAGGGGGAGGAGGAGGAGGAGGGAGGGACGACGAGGAGGAGAGGAGGAGGAGGAGGAGGAGGAGGAGGAGAGGAGGAGGGAGGAGGGGAGGAGGAGGAGGAGGAGGAGGAGGAGGGGAGGGGGGAGGGGAGGAGGGGGAGGAGGAGGAGGAGGAGGAGGAGGAGGAGGAGGAGGAGGAGGAGGAGGAGGAGGAGGAGGGGGAGGAGGAGGAGGGCGAGGGCGAGGGGGAGCTCGGCCTTGCAAAGCACTGAAGAAGCTCAGGGCACTCGAGCCCCACGCTGCCCCAGACGCGGGCGACGCTGGCCCCTGCCAGGGCCAGCGGGCAGCGGCGGCGAGCCACGGGCGGCGGGGCCAAGCGGGCGCCGGGCGGGCAGGCTCCCGCGGGGCAGCGGCAGGGCGCGGCAGGCGGCAGGGCAGGTGCGGGGGCGCCGGGGCAGGGCGGCGCCAAAGGGGCGCCGCCTGCCCCGCCGCCGCGGGGCAGCGAAAAGCGGTCGTCTCGGGGGTCGACTGTTATGTCGGGCATGTCCTCCTCGAGGCGGATTTGGGAGGAAGAAGAAGAAGAAGAAGAAGAAGAAGAAGAAGATAAAATAAAAATAAAAAATGCACCACAGAAAACCCCGATCGGTGGCATAGCGGGGGGGAAAACGAAACACTGAGCCAGGTATGCAGAAAGACCCACAGAGACAGAGAGAGGGAGAGAGAAAGAGAGAGAGAGAGAGAGAGATAAAGGCGAAGGATAGAGAGAGAGATATTGCATAACACTGACAAAAAAAAACATCTGGCATTACGATTATAGAATACATTTCAGATCACCGAGTGAGGCTTATATCAAAAAGTAGCAAGAAAGAGAGAGAGAGGGAAAGAGAGAGAGAGGGGAATGAGAGAGAGATTGCATTACACAGAGGAAACAAAAAAAACATCCGACAGAACGAGTAGGTAATTCATTTCGTATCGGGGCAACACGAAAGAGCGACATAGAGAGATACCAAGAGATAGAAGAAAGAGAGAGACAGAGAGAGAGAGAGAGAGAAAACAAAAAAAGAGAGAGAGAGAGAGATACAGAGAGAGAGAGAGAGAGAAAAAATTGAATAACACAACATCTGAGCGCCCACCGACAGCACTGAGATCCAGAGGTACCAAGAGAGAGAGAGAGAGAGAGAGAGAGAGAGCGAGAGAGGAAGAAAGGAGAAACAAAAACAAAACAAAAAAAGAGAGAGACGGGGCGCCCACCGACAGCCGCCCACCGAGAGCGGCCCACCGAAATCGGTCGGTTACTTTCGCCAATCTCTCGAGGGGGCGCCCACCGAAAGCCGCCCACCGAGAGCCGCCCACAGAAATCGGCCGGCTAATTTCGCCGATCTCTTCTACGTCCGCTAGGACCCCTTTCAGTGTAAACGCTGATTGGGGCATAGTCAGAAATATACACGGAAATCGGCACCTGACCATGTTTGACTATTCTTGACATTTCTCCTGTAGAAGAACATGCCCAAATTAAATGTACTGACCTGTGCCAATCCAAACCTTAGTCAGGCCTTGCAGGATCCTGCAAGATCCTGCGGGATCCTGCAGGATCCTGCACGCGAGCTGGGGTCAATGCACCCCTGGCTCTGCAGGATCCTGCAAGATCCGGCGTTCTGGCTGACCCCCGTGTGCAATGACCCCCGTCTCGAGGCTCCAGCTCGTCGGGGGGGGCACCCTGGCGCTGGGGGGAGGGAGGGGGGCGCCACCAAAACCGACGACATGATAGGTCCACAGCGGAACCGCACCGAAGCCACGACGGCGGGGTTGGTAGAGCACGGGCCAGCGATCCTCATCACGGCGAGGCCGTCGCTGTTGATCCGCTGGCGGCGTGAAACGCTGGCGAGCGCGCACGGGCAGCAACGGCACGCCGGCGCCGCACACGGATTGGCGGTGGGCGTGACACCGACCGACACGTGTCAACCAGACGGGATCGGTGCGACTGGGCGAAGAGGCCGAAGCACGAAGCTCGCAGACCTCAGGCACGCCATGGATCCTCATGGCGAGGCCGTCGCTGCTGATCCGCTGCCGGCGTGACACGCAGGGCAACGATGCGCCCACTCCGCGCGCGAGCAGCGGGGGCGCGCTGGTGCCGCGGGCCGCTGGAGGGGATGGCGGTTGGCGGGACCCAGCAAAAAGGCACAAATAATGAAGGAGCAAGAAGACCGCACAGGCCTGTCAGCTAGCAGCGACCCTCACACACACATACACATACATCCATGCACGCATGCATGCATGCATGCATGCATGCGTACATACATACAAACGCACATAGATACGTGCAAACATACATACATACATGCATACGTGCATGCATGCACCCGTACATACACCCATACAAACATACAGGTATACACACATACATACATACATGCATGCATGCATGCATGCATACATCCATACATATATACATACATACATACATACATAC